AGGGCGCATGCACATGCCAGAAAGAGAGAGAGAAAGAAAGTGAGATGGCCATGCCACAATTCCTTCTTTTCCATTCTCCTCTCAGGATCATGGGCACACATGCACACGCACCCGGCATGAGTTTAAGCCACCAGGTCCAGGACTCAAACCGTGGTTGATACATGGGAGTCCAGCGACATAGCCATTACACCAACTGCTGGTCCCTTGTGCTCCCATCTAAAAGCTTACTATTTCGATTTTTTCATGTAGCTAGATCACCACAGACTGAATCCGCTGAGTTGATAATATGTGACTTACAGATGTGTCTGGTTCACTATTTAAAGAGATTCCATTTCAATTTTCTCCTGAGCACTGTTTTATATGCTTTCTACATACTTGGAGATCTAAAGGATATCCGAGTCACCTCAGGAAGTAACTAGGGACATAGCAGGCCAACATCTTCACGAATTCCCAGCTAAACCCTTGTTTGCTTTTCTTTAGATCAAATTGTTCCTGGTACCAAAGAGACAGAAGGACCCAGGGCAGTTTTACCCTCTGTGAGTGTTGTGTCCCTGTGTAGAAATCAAAGTTCCTTCCTGTGTCATCACCTTCTTACAACAACGGAATTCAGATGAGTTAAATGATGACAATAATGATAATGGCGATGTTAATCAAGATGATATAAATTAAACATCTTGGACATTTGCTAAATGCCATGCATTGTGCTAAATTTTTATATGCATTATCTCATAATCCCCAAAATATTCTTTCTTTAGGTAAATAGCATTATTTACGATTTAGCATTGTCATTAAAAATCCCTCATCATCATTTAGTATTAAAGAAAGAGACACAGAAAAGCAGATAGGTAAAAGTTAATAAATACACAATTAAAGCCCAGTGGTAGGCCATATGAGTTATATTCACGCTAGATACCAAAATATTAAGCCTAGAGTTCTTCTATCATTATGTCTCAGAAGCATAAAATATTCTCTTTGCTTAACGTTCATGTGTTACCATCTAGCAACAGATGACTAGAACATACAAAGGTTTTCCAGGACAACCCTGGGTTTTCTAGAAATGGTTAGAGCATGTGTATGTCTTAATGTTCCAAATACTGAAGATCTATTGTAGCACCCACACAGGGAACTTAAAAAGATGTATTCTTGGGAATCAGCACTTAGCGTAATGGCTATGTCGCTGTACTCCCACGTAGTCGACTGCGGTTTGCGTCAGGGACCCGGTGGCTTAAAACTCACGCTGGGCGTGGGTGCGTGCGTGCCAAAGATCCCGAGAGGAGAATGGAGGAGAAGGAATTGCAGTGTGACCATCCCCCCTGGGGGGTGATTTCTTGATTTCTGTCTCTATGTCTCTCTCTGTCTGTCTGGCGAGCGCACACACCCTATAGCGAAAACCTCTCCAAAAAAAAAAGATGGTTTTTTTTTTTTGGAATTTAAAATTTTATTTTATGATTTCTTATTTACATTTAGTCATTGTACATCTTTACAGTACACACTATACCCCCCCCCAATTCCCATTGCCTTCCAAAAAAATATGTATTCTTGGGGGTCAGCAGATTGCATAGTGGTTAAGGCACTGGTTGTCCATGGTTTGAGTCTCAGAAATGGCAGCTTGAAACTTCCACCAGGCATGTGCAATCAGGTAATAGCTCCATGCAACCTTTTCTTAAAATAACACAGAATATCATCTCCAGACTTTCAAAGCACTTTAGACAACCTTGGATGAGCAGAAAATATTCCCTCTAGTCTCTTTTGATTTTATAATTCTATTATTTTTACTGAAAGAGCAGACTGCAATGTGATAGTATTTCCAAGTTGAATACTTAGTGATGACTATATATTCCTTAGTTTGCTTAAGTATGCATCCTTTGTTGTCGAGAATTTGTAATTTCTAGAATAAAAAGAAAGCCCTACACTTATCAGGAAGTATTAATGCAGGCAGTTATAAGAGTGAGACGAGAAAGAAAATTCCAAGGGTCATGTTAGTCTGTGAATAATCTCATAATCAGGTAATTTGATCAACCTTTACCACTTTATGAAGGCTCTGCTTTGCCTCTGAAGAATAAGAACAAACCGAGAGAGTAAAAAAGAGGATAGCAAGTAGAGACAGCTACTTCTCTCTTCCTCTTCTCCTTAGTTTTGCTGTTGTAGAAAGAGTAGAAATTTTGGAGTCAGGAAACTCCTAGGTTGAATTTCACATACATCACTGTGTGTATCTCTATTGCATCAGGTAGTTTACTAGGCATCTCTAAGTTTCTTCCTTTATGAAATATATAAAGTACTATTTCCCAAGCAGAGTTGGTGGGAAGATACTAGGTAAGTATGAAATCAGGAAAAAGGACAACAAACAGCTGTTACCAGTTGCTACTACTTCATCTGTTCAGCTTTCAGTATATATGTACTGGTCACCTCACTGCGGCAGAAATGTAATGAAACACTAGGAACAGTGAACAGACCAAATATAGGGTTATTCTATTCTTCAATAGGTTTATTCTTTCTCCTTTGAATACCACAGTAATTGAAATTCCATCCACCACTACTCCCCTGAAATTCCTCTGGCAAAATCAGCATCTATCAGATATGATGGGTTCTTTTTGGTCCTCAATAAGCCCTTTGTGTAGAGTATCTAACACTATTGAGCAATTACATTCTCGATGGCTAGAATATTCCCCTCTCTCTCCTGATTTCTTCATACTCTCTGACTGAAATCTCTGTTTCCATTCTTAGTTTATCTTCTTCTGTTATTACCCCTTTAGCTTATATTTCCTACCGTTCTGACTTTCACCTTTTCCATCTCATACTCTCCACTAGTGGTTATTGATCCTTCTAGAAGCATAGATTCCTACAAGGATTTGAAGAAGCTATTCACACTCTCCCTAGGGAGAATATATAAATAAATAAATATACAAATAAACAAATATATTTAGGAGTTTATAAACCTTCTTTCCTCCCCCTCAAAGCCCATTTCTGTAGTCCATGTTAAGGGGCTCCTATGGCTTTAACTATTAACATAGATGTTAATGATCCTCAGATCTCTATCTCCCATATAAACTGTTTCTTGAGCAATAAGTCTGCCTTTAAATGACTTATTAGGCAATTCTACATGATGTCCTTCAGGCATCTTAAATTCAAAATATACCAAAAGCAATTTAGGATTTTTCTCCTTAAGCCTATTCCCTTGAGAAGCAGTATCCTATGGGAAAGGGAAAACTATTTTTAAACCAAACAGACCTAGATTAAAATCCATCCCTAGAAACTTCAGTAATGTATGTAATGTCTTTGTCCTTTAATTTCTTCATTTATGGCAGAAGCATAATAATACCTTCATCTTTTTATTGTTATGAGAATTAAAACCAGTAATGGGAAAATGTTTATCTATATTCCTGACAAATAGACTATATTCCACAAATATTAATGTTTCTGGATTCCCAATCTTAGTAAAACCAACTCTATTCACCAAGTATCCTGATCAAAAGTTTAGGAGTTATCTTCAACTCATCCCCCTTCCCTTATCTACAACCAGTGGACAGCAATGCAGTACTGATTCCTCAATTCCTCCTGGCCTTAGATTAGGCTCTTGTATTCTTTTAATCACTGTCCAACCCTTCCAATCTATCCTGTGCACTGAAGTCAAAGAATCTTTCCTAATAATCCCATGACTCTGCTTTCATCTGCCTCCTTCTTCACATTGCTTCTAGGATTACATCATTTTAGTATTGCATTGAGAGCTGACATCTGGTCCCTATCTACCTCCAATTTAACCCCTTGAACTACTTGTGGATCTACCAAACTGCCCATAGGGTTTGAGGTTCTATACCCCTCTACACACTGCTTCCTTTCCCTGAAATATCTTCAACACCCTACATCTCTTTCTGGCATTTAGGAAAAGACTTAGTCATCTTTCAAAGCACAGTTCAAATATCACCTCTGCTATGAAATTATTCCTGACGGCCTCCTGCTATGTTGTTTTTGTCGCCTTCCTGTATGTGATAGATAATTTTCTACCAAAGAAAAGATGAATAACATATGGATACTGGCCTCAAAAGTTTACAATCATCATTCGACCAGAAATATGAATATATAGCCAGGACAAGCAAGCCAAATAGGAAGAGAAATAATGAGGCATGAAAAGAAATGAGTTGTAAATAAACTTCATCACTCAGCTCAGCAGTCCCTTCTCAGAAATCTTCTATGTCCCATTCCACTCTGAGATGCAGGAGTATGTGCATGCATGTATGTTGCTATTTATAAACTATTTTATATACAGTTTTGCTTGCTCTGTCTTTCAGAGTGTGTGTGTGTGTGCTGGCTATATACAGATGATCCCCAATTTATGATGGTTTAACTTACTAATTTTATAATTGTTCAGTTAGGGAGAAATCATTTCTAGTACCCATACAATTATTCTGCTTTTAACTTCCAGTATAGTTTCATAAATTAAATGAGATATTCAAAATTTTAGAAAGAATATTTATAGAACTATTATAAAATAGCCTTTGTTTTAGAAAATTTTGCCCAACTGTGGGCTAACCTGTGTCCTGAGCACATTCAAAGTAGACTGAGCTGGACTGTGGTGCTCACTAGATTAGCTGTATTAAATGTATTAAATGCACTTTCAACTGAACAGTATTTGCAACTTCCCATGGGTTTATGAAGACATAGCTCATCATAAATTGAGGAGTATCCATATTAACTCTTAATTTTCATGAAAAATCAGAAATAGACACTATTACTATGACATTTCAGAAGTGAGGAAGTTAAAGCATAAAGGAACTGAGTAACCGGCCAGCTCAGGAGGACTTAACTAGAAGTAGATTCAAAAATCCAACTCAAGCCATATGCTGTCAGTTTATACCTGTCTAAATATGACATCCTGCCTTTGTAGGATAGTACTTACATGGGAAGTTGGGGTGATTAGGCCCAACTCTGGTGCCTAATTCCAGGCTACAAGCTGACCAGGTTCTTGTCCTATGCTCACAAAGAATTGGAGACACAGACATGAAGAAGGAATAGCAAGAGAAGTTTATTGAGAGACAGGAGAAGGAAAAGGCAGAGTATCCAAGGGGAAGGCGTCTCAGAATGAGTTGCCACACCATGGTCTAGGTCTCAGGTTTATATACTCGTTAAGAGACCCACCTCCCCACATGCATTTTTCTTTGTGGTAGGGGTCCCACGTAGGCTGTTAATTTTTCTCAGTTAACGTTGAAGGCTCAGAAACTGTTAATTTGGAATTTTATTGCCCTGGTGCAAGAAAAATCTTATCTCCTTCAGGATTCTGTGGAAAAACAAAACAAAACAAACAAACATAAAAACTCTTACATTATCTATGTGCTCTGAGCTGTGACAATTGGTCTGGTTTTTGCCTAAGTCTCATATTAAAGAGTCCTAGATTCTTCAGAAGCAGCATTTATATATCTGTAGGCCAAAGGGAAATAGTGACTCTATGGAGAAAAAAGAGAGAAAAAGAACATGACTGCCCAGCTCTCCTCTCGGGTCCCTGCCCTAACTACCTACTCATTGGCTCTAATTCCTGCCTCCATACTAGTGCAGGCGGTAGAAATCTTTGGGCTGGTATCTCCTTGACACATTTAGTTTAGAAAGACAATCTAAAACTCTCTCCTCAACCCTAGAATTTCTTATCACTTCTAGAATTTTATTTCACGTCACGTCACTAATGATTGCCATGTAAAGGCCCCAAATCACCAACTTCTTTGGTGCTTTTCTGCACTTTTCACCAAGGACTTGATACCCATAAACTTTGACTAAAGACCATAAGTCTGAACAGAGAAAGAGGGCTTCCACACCTTCATGGTCATCTTGCCTTACATAAGGGGATTTTGAAAAGTTTGTGGAAAAAATAAAATTAAAGTACAAGTTTATTTTGGTGCAAAAAAAAATTTTTTTTGGAGAGGTTTTTGCTATAGGGCATGTGCACTCATCAGAAAGACTGAGACAGAGAGACAGAAAGCGAGAAATCACCCCCCAGGGGGGATGGCCATGCCACAATCCCTTCTCCTCCATTCTCCTCTTGGGATCTTGGGCACACATACACATGCACCCGGCGTGAGTTTAAGCCACTGGGTCTAGGACTCAAACCGCAGTCAACTACGTGGGAGTCCAGTGACATAGCCATTATGCTAACTGCTGGTCCCAATCCACACCTTTTTCATAATACACATTTTCATTAACTTTTTTGTAGACCCTCTTATAATTAGTATTTTCTCTGAGAAAATATGCAGTTCTCTTTCAAGTTCAAATTTCAGCTTCAGTGTGGTAACTTCAGTTCTAGCCCATTTTTGGAGCAATAAATTCCCGGCATTTAAAAGCATCAATTAAAACAAAAGATACTTTGGGTGCCTGAAGATGATGTGGTGGTTAGGCACTGGACTCCTACATGGCTAAATGCAGTTCAAGACCTGGATCAGGCAGCTTGAAAACCATACCAGGTACATGTGCATGCATGCCCAAAATCCCAGGAGAAGAATGGAGAAGAAGAGACTGTGGTGTGGCCATCCCCTCTGGGAGGGTGATTTCTTACCTTCCTTCTCTATGTTTCTCTCCAGTGAGTGCACATGTCATATGGCAAAACATTAATTAATTTTAAAAAAGATAATTTGAGGTGGAATTTTTGTCTTCTGCTGTTGCCCAAAACAGACAAAACAAAGAAAAAAGAAAAAAAATGCTATATACTCTATGTTTCGATTTCTATGACATTCTGGAAAAGCCTAAACTATTGAGACAGACAATAAATTAGTGGTTGTCAAAGGTTTGGGGGGTAGGAGAGTGTAACAGGTGAAGCACAGAGAAATTTTTTAAAGAGAGATAAAACTATTTCCTATAACACTGAAATGGTCGATGCATAACACTACATATGCAACTTTCAAAACCGACACTAAGAACTTTGATAAGATTTTTTTTTTTTGAGATGTTTTTGCTATAGGGCGTGTGCACTCACCAGACAGACAGAGAGAGACAGAGAGACAGAAAGCCAGAAATCATTCCCCCAGGAGGGATGGCCGTGCTGCAATCCCTTCTCCTCCCTTCTCCTCTAGGGATCTTGGGCACACACGCATGCACACGCGCCTGGCCTGAGTTTTAAGCCACCGGGTCTGTGACGCAAATCGTGGTGGACTACATGGAAGTCCAGCGACATAACCATTATGCTAACTACTGGTCCCCCATAGATAAAGATTTTTTTAAAAAGTCTTAGGAGCACAAAGAATCTCAAGATGGAATATAGATTGTGGCAAAAGAACTCTACCTATATTACCAATTATAAAATAACCTCACACACAAGTGACAGGAGGGGCTGACCTGGGCACCTCTGGAAATGAGTGTAGTCTATAAGATTATTGGAAAAGAACTATACATAAGCATTGTGCGTTAGTTGATAAATCCGTTTTTTACAGGCATGCCTGATCATTCTGAAGCCAGTATATATACATGTACCTAGAAAATAGGTTAATAGTTCTGAACCAACTATACATGTAAACTGAAACTAAATTAAATGATAGAATGGTAGATGGTGGGAGTTGTTTCTCACACTGGAATGAAAAGTTACAGACAGACAAAGGGAATAGGCTAGAGGGATCCATGTGGAGCTGGATTAGACATGGAGACATGAGCATGAACTCCTATTTAGCTAAGATAGATACATGTATAGATTTCCATAGACATGTGTATTTACTCAGATTAGTACACACACATGTATTTCCTTGCTCTGTCAGCGGAAAGGGCCTACAAGCGCAACACCCCAAACACCTTAGTCTTAAGTGCTAATATCATTTTTCTTAAAAAGGACCTATCGCTTCTTGGGGAACTAGGTGATTCAAGGACAACAGAAGAAAATACACAAGACAAGCCCTGAACATCTTATACTGTCAGAACTTAAGGAAATGCTTGAGGGGAAAATAACAACAAAAATTGGTTATAACAAAATGACACAGATGCTAACTAAAAGAAATCCCAAAGGTCTAAACTGGAATAATAAACTAAAACAGTGTTGGATTATAACCTCGAATGTAAAATAAATATCTTTGAGTTCCTCCTGATATAAATAAATGATTGCATCCATAAAAGGGGGATAACCGATGAATCTCCCATGCAGAAACCCAAATAATGTATGAAAATATTCTGGTCTTAAACAGGTGGAGAATAACCACTCAGTCTTAAGATTAAGGCTGAACATAGTGACAAGTTTCCAAAAATATGCAAAGGGAAAGAAAAAGAGCAATTTCCCAGTGGAGACACCTGACAAAAACTAGCTTAGCAAGGTGGTAACAGTTAGCATGAACAGTGAATGGTAAGTCACGTTGGGTATGTATCCTTTATATGATATTATGAGAAGGGCACTTTATCTCCTTACTAAAAACAAACAAACAAAAAACCCTCATACCTCAACCAGCGCATGAGTAAACAATCAGTCAGATCCCAATTGATGGGTATTCCACAAATGTCTGACTAGTATGCCTTAAAACTGTCAAAAAGCAAGGAAAGACTGGGAAACTGTCACAGTTCAGAGGAACCTAAACAGATGGTGACTCAATATGATGTTGTTTCCTGCAACAGAAGAGGTTGATTAGAAACTAAGGAATCTGAATAAAGTATGGCCTTAAATTCATTTTAAACATTCACTTAGTAAGAGAAAGGTGGTAAAGTGCTTATTAGTCAGTCCCGGGTTACCTATTTACTGAGCCTATTATGACCTGGCGCTGTGGCTGTTCTGGCCGCAGAACAAGTGCCCTGTGATTCAGGAGCAACAAGCAAGTGTAAGACAAGAGCGCAGAGGTAGTTTGAAAGACAGGATGGGAGAAATCTAGCAGATGGATCAGTGAGTCACGGAAATCACTTGACACGTCTAACTGTCGGCGGGCTCTGTCCCCGCCCTTCACCCAGGTCACGCCCTCCCTGCCTTTCCCCGCCCACGTGGTCCCAGATTAGCCAATCACAAGTCGGCTCTACGTATTTCTGCAGTGCGAGAGCGCATCGACGGTTCGACGCTCCTTCCCATTGATGCGCTCGGTAGCAGCCTCTCAGCCTGGTCGCTGCCCGCCGGACGCTACCATCTCCGCCTTCGCCGCCGCCATTTTGACTGAGGGGAGTCGGGTTCCGAGACAGCTGGAGGCGGCGGTGGTGGCTGGTACGGATGGTGTCGGTCCGCGCTAGGCCCCTCCAAATTCGCCCGGCTTCGGGCCGCAGCTCTCGGTATTGCCCTATTCCCACCGCTCCTGTCGTTGCCCCCCGTCGTCCTGGCACTCCGCCTTTAGGCTCTTCGCACACACACACTCCTTCGGCTCAGCCCGAGTACTTGCTGGGGCTGTTGCCCCCCTCTCGGAGCTGAGCTGAAATACTTGCTTCCGTTCTCAGTCCCCTGTCCCGCCGTCCGCTCCCTCTGCCTGATCTGGTGTCAGTGGGCTTGCGGTGGGGATAAATGGCTGCGAGCTGCGCGCCTCGGGCGGAGCTCTGCGGGGCCGGGGGGCCGGGGGGGCCGAGGCCGAGCCCGGCCTCCGCGTTAGCTGCGAGCGTGGACTTCGGTCTGGGGCTGGAGGAGCGTGATCGGAGTAGTGACGTGCCCCAGCTGTCAGTTTAACCTGTCACCACCCTGCTTTGTTTTGTCATTTCCCAGGCATAACTTCACAAAGGAGAGCTATCTTGCGACCGTCCTCTCCTCTAGAGATGGCCAATGTGAGTAAACTCGCCTCTTAACAACCACTACCTACTTTGGGAACTTGGGAGGAGAGGGACGGACGGGTTTGTTTACGATGGCGTTGGTGGCGTCCTGTTAGAAGGAGTGTGAGTGTTGGAGGAAGCAAGGGGCGTGAAAGTAGGTTGCTGCCTTTGGAAGGTAGTTTCAACACAGCGTTCTTTTGAATACACCTGTAGTTGTTTTATAACTTCATTTTTATAGATACAGAAATGCAGTGCAAGCATCCTTTCACTGTTTTCAAGAGTGAATTTTTAAAGGAGAAGTGAATATTTACATTATTTCAGAAAATTGTAAGCTTTTTATTTTAATCCCATGCTGACTGAACTGAAGGTTTTGTCGCAGTTTCAGTGCGAGAAGTGACCTTGCAGATTCTACAGAATGAGAGTAAGGCGTTATTCACTCACGCCCCAGAAGTTTTTTTCCCCATGGCTAACTGCAAGTTTGAATCCTACCTCAACTGGCACATGTGCATGCATGCCCAAAATTCCAACAGGACAGAAATGGAAGAAAAGGAATTCCAACCAGCCCGCTGCGGGGTGCTTTCTCCGTCTCCTCTTTTTGGTTCACACCTGTACCCACTGGTTAATAAATAAGTAAAGTATTTTTATAAAAGATTGGAAAGGTACAGTGCATATGAGTTTTCTGGTGACAGGTTAAACGCTCACCAGAGAGAGAGACAGAGAGAGAGAAAGCGAGAAATCACACACACACACACACACACACACACACACACACGGAGGGTATGGCCACGCCACAATCCCTTCTCCATTCTCCTCTAGGAATCTTGGGCACACTCACACATGCACCCAGCGTGAGTTTAAGCCGAGTCCGGGACTCCAACCGCAGTGGACTACATGAGAGTTCAGCAACATAGCTATTACGCTAACTGCTGGTCCCAAAACTCTTTCACTTAGTGGGAAAAGCTTTTAACTTGAGTTTTGAGAGAAGGTGTGATTCAGATCATCTGAGGTTTCAGTGAGAAAAAATTACCCAGGCAGTTCCTTTCAGAAATTAAGTCAGATCTGCCTGCTGTAAGGAGGTGTGAAAAAGATATAGAGTTGGAGATACAGTTAGATTGTGAGGCTGAGAACAATAATAAAAAGAATTGATGCCAAACTCAGTCATTTAGGTTTTTGTTCTTTTAATTGTGATTTGATCCGAGTTTTGTGTTAGGACAGTTAATGTGGCAGCAGTAAGCTAGGGTGGTATTTTTGTAACTGAACATGATTATATTAAAATGTCTTAGTCACTTGCTCACTGAAATACCTGAGATTGGGTGATTTATGAAGAAGTAAAGGTTTATTCAGTACATAGTTTATAGGTCTGAGGCCCAGGGCCAACTTCTGGGAGGCTACAGCATGATAGCAGAATCTTTTTTCCTTTTGAGATTTTTTTTTTGGGGGGGGGGTGCTATAGGGCATGTGCACTCACCGAAGTGGTTCAGGGGGACAGGGACCAGAAAGAATTCACACACATCCATACCCCAGGGCAGATGACCAGGCCGCATTCCCTTTTCCATTCTCCAGCTGGGTTCTTAGGCAACCATGCACATTTTCCTGGTGTGAGTTTGAAGCCACTGGTCCCAGGACTCAGACTATGTTCAGCCATGTGGGAATCTAGTGACGGAACCGCTAAGCCATCTGCTGGTCCCAAAGGGCAGGATCTTAAACAGCCAATGGTCCTAATGTTTCTCCTTATTCTGGTCTGTATCCATGTGGTCCCGTCTGCTTCATTTTTCTTACAACCAGAATTCATTCATAGGGTCCTCTGCCCTAATGATTTTATCATACCCCCTAAAACCCCATTCTGGGACACAAAGAAGGAGTTAAGTTTTCATTAACATCTATAAATACAACCAAGACCCAAGACAAGTGTTTGGGAAACATCCCATCACTGCCTGCAAGAAGCAAATTCTAATAAAACATGAACCTTAGGACAAATTATCTAAACCATAACAAAAGGTAGGACTAAAAAGACAAGTCCCTAGAGTAGATCACCTATCTGGGCCAAGTTTTAAGATGAACTTTTACTGAGCCATAACTTGCATAGAAAGGGAAGTATAGTACTCTTAAAGAAGAGAAATTAACTTAAGTAAAATAGAATGCTAATATTTGACCTGGCTTTATTTTGGTTTAAATGAATAAATTAGTTCAATAAAGTAGCTTCCAAATGCTTGTAAAAATCCTATGTTTGTTAGAATGAAGTTCGTGTGTAAAAAACATGTAAATTTTATAATTCAAATGTACTTGATTTTTTGTTTCTATGCATTATAAATTCCAAACAAATGTTAGTTATAAAGCATGCAGATATTATGTATCTTCAGCAATTTAGTTAACATATGTAGCAAGGGTCATAAATATCTGGACTTCAGAGTCTGGAGGAAGTCTAAGGAACCAGCCTTAGCTTCAGGGATTTGTTGCTAACTGTTGACATTTGGGTATGTGAATCCACTATTGCTGCATCTTCTGAGTTTTTTTTAAAAGCCAAACATTTGTATCTTGTGAAACGTTAAAATTCTCATTGTTGGTATCCAACAATGAGATGAATCTGGATGCATTTTATAGACCACCAGTTTTCAGTCTTTTGAACAGACTTTATTTTCTCTTTATGTGACCCAAAATAGGACTTAATCCTAACAGTGCCTGAAAGGCTCTTTTTTCTTTCTATCGTCATAATGATGTTACAATTAAATCCTAATTGTCTGCCATCTTCTCAAGTCTGGAATCTAATTTTTTAAAGTTAATTATATGTAAAATACATACCATTGAACTAAAATAAACACACTTTTAAGTGTTTTTTAATTATTTATTGACCATCACTTTAAATTATTATATTCACATTATTGAATGTGATGAGATCTTTCAAGTTAGAAAATACTCTACTTCTACAGTAAAGAATTTGAGAATCTTACAGGTTAAAGGATAAGGTTAAAAACAGATTAGTACTGTCATCAACTGTTTCATTATAAGTATTATTTTGCTGTTAAATCATATTTGGTGATTGGATTTTCTTAGAGTAGGAAGAGAGCTCACATTTTGTTTTATAACTTTTGTTAAAAAGATTTACCATTAAGAAAAAAACATCTGAATAGAATCTAGTGGCCTTGATATTCGGGCTAAAATAATCCTTAATAATGTTAGGAAGTTTCTAAAATAATTTAGATAATCTCCTATTTTTTGCTTGTGAAACAGTGTGAATGTACATAATTGTAAATTATATTTTAATAATGATACTAAAACTAGTGTTAATGTAGTGCATAGAATTGTGGAATTTAAATGAAACAGCATTTAGCACAAGACCTGGACCTGTAGTGGCTACATCCATTGATTATTTACTCTTACATACTTTCTCATGAATAGTCAAATAATCTTCACATAATCTCTTCAGGTTATCTCTTATACCTCTTTTGAGCCTTTGTTCAAAATATTTTTGAAATTTAAAACTAAATTACCTTTAGATCCTGAGGCTTTTTTTTTTTTTTTTTAATCATTTGTCAGAGGGTGCTACATGCACTTGCCAGAGAAAGATGGTATAGGGGTGGTAGAGGCAGTAAGAATGCACCCTGCCCCCAAGGGGAACAGTCATGCTGCAGTCCCTACTCCATTTCTCCCTCCTTGTATGATTCTGGGTGCACACTTACCCTGAGTGTTTCCCCACAGTGGTTCTGCGCCTTGAACAGCATAGTTGGCCAAGTGGAATCCAGCTACCTTAACCATGCACCTGCTGTCCTGGCATATTCTTTTGAATATCCTCAATTGTAAAGGTAAACTCACGTTATAGAAATACCCTAAAGTCTGAGTTTGTCTAGAAAAGTAAACAACGGAATACTTAAACCTTTTCATTTTTTGAGGCGGTTGTGTGTAGACCCCAAGAGAGAATGCTTAAATTTTTAGGTAGAATGTTTCGGACTCAGACCGTGTGCTTTGGAGACAGGTATCACAAAGAAGGTTATATTTACCCAAGTTTTAAGGAAATAATATGAATATTAAATGCATTAAAGGTGAGAGAAAGGGGCATTTTTAGCAGAAAAAATCTTGTGGCAGTATTAAAGATTGCAGATAATTATGGGGAGTTTTTTTTTAATATGATTAAAGAGTAGAGTATGTGAAGGAAGGGTAAAATTTTTAAAAATCATGTTAGTTAGAAAGGACAGGTAAGATGCTCTCTTGTACATACTGTAAGAAATAAAATGGAGGAGAATGCACAAGTTGAGTTTCAGAGCACTGTGAAAGGGAAATGTAATGATTATGAAATATCAAGTGAATGAACTATTTATTAATTTATTTTGAGAGGTTTTTGCTTTACAACCTGTGTGCTCGCCAGAAAGACAGACAGACAGAAAGCAAGAAATCACCCCTCCAGGGGGATGGCCACACCTCAGTCCCTTCTCCTCCTCTCTTCTCTCGGGATCCTGGGCATGCACACTCATGCATCTGGTGTGAGTGTCCCAGGTCTGGGACACAAACTGCGCTTGACTGCATGGGAGTCCAGCGACAGCCATTATGCCAACTGCTGGTCCCTGAATGAACTGTTTTAACGTCTCCTGGTAATTAGTTTTCATACCATTTGTCTACTCCAACTCAGTCCATTCTCTATACTGCTCTTAGTGCTTTATTCCTTAAAATATCTCCTATTTTATCAGTTTGTTCTGCCTCTTTCTTGGCTACAGGTGAAAATTCTGACCTATTATCTTGATGTAACAGGCCCTTTATCATCTGTGTCAAATATAATAAAGTTAACTTTCAAGCCTAATTTTTTAATATAAAGAGCCAGATAATAAATGTTTTAGGCTTTTTGCCCAAAGTCTCTGTTATTACTACTTAACTTGCCATTATGGTGTGAAAGCATTCAATTAGCAATAATCGCGCTTCGGATAAACCTCATTGGCTACGATACTGCCACTGCGCAAAGCTGGCTATGGTGTGAAAGCATTCAGACAATATCTAAACAAGAGGCTGTGGCTATGTTACAGTAAAACTTTATATACCAGAACCATTGGCTGTATTGGGAAACAGTTTGCCAACCCTGCATTAAATTATTCTGACCCAGGCATTTTGCTAAAATGTTGTGCATGAAAGATATTTGCACATTTATCCATTGTAATTGACCTCAGTGTCTAAACATGATAAAAAAATGGACCATGAAGGTATATGCTAAAATGAACCTAAGTGCCAAACTAAGAGGAAAAATGACATGGAGATACTAGCACAATTTATAATAGTAAAAGAAGATGGGGCCAGCAGGTGGTGTGGTTGGTTAAGGCACTGGATTCCCATGTGACCAACCATATTTTGAGGCCTGGACCCAGCAGTTTGAAAATTGTGCTAGGCATGCATGTGTGTATCTGTGCCCGAAATCCTGAGAGAAGAGTTGAGGTGTGGCCATATCCTCTGGGGGTTGTTTCTCACTTTCTGTCTCCCTGTCTCTCTCAGGTGAGCACATGCACCTTGTGGCAAAGCCTAAAAAAAAAGTTGTAAAGTAAACAGACTTAGTCCAAGGAGATTTGAAAGTTCTCTTATTGTACTACCTTGTTAGTGTGGCTACATAGGGCAGCTTTTAGAAATTCTGTTCTCTCACGTGTGGCACTTTTGAACTCTGGCCCTTTTTGGAAAAGGCTTACACTTTTACCCAAAATAACTTTTAACTAGCTTGTTTTAGTATTTGTGTTTATTTTTAAAATTTATACACACACACACACACACACACACACACAGACACATATATACACACAGATATATATAAATATATATTAATTATGTATATAAAATATTGTCACATATTAGAAATTCAATAAAATTGGAGTGAATGTTGATTTTAAAAGATGTTATAGTATGAAGATTTTCCAGAGGTTGTCTACATAGGTAAAACACATATATTCAGAATAAATCATTTTAATTTTGTCATTCTTAGGTACTCTGTAACAGAGTCAGATTGGTTTCCTATCTCCCAGGATTTTGCTCTTTGGTTAAAAGGGTCATCAATCCCAAAGCCTTTTCAACTGCAGGATCTTCAGGTTCTGATGAGTCTCATGTGGCCACTGCACCTCCAGACATATGTAAGCATAAATTGTTATTGCTTTACTTTTAATTGTTCGAAAACATTTTGAGTTGTGTTTCCTTTAGTATTTCTTCTTCAAATTATGCAGATCTTCTAAAGTTGTGTTTACTCTATTGAAAATAAATCAGAACTCTGCCTAAAATACTTGTATCAGACGGTTCAATATAGAAAAGAAAGAAGCAATGAATGCTGGTTTCTAAAGTTTATTTTCTTTAACTTTAGTTTCTATCTGCAAATATACACAGTCCTCCCTGAAACAAATCTCCTTTTGGTCCTATTAAACTATATTATTGCTCCCTTCCTACTTGATAAATTTCTTAAATATAGCTGACACTTTTTATGTTTTAGTGTTTATTCTATCATAACTTGCCTGCTTTCCAGTCTAGTTCTTGGAATCCATTTTGCATCATGCTGATCCTTTTAAAAGATTTTAATCATGTCACTTTCTTGATAAACCATCCTCAAGCTATGAATCATTGTCCAAGGATTAAAAAGTGGGAGAGGGAATTCTGTGTGTAGGTAATTTTGAGAAATGACACATGCCCTATTTCTATCCTGGAGGTTTAGAATGCACATTAAAATATTAAAGGCCTTTAGAAACCTAACCTAGTATGTCCTGAAGGTAGCAGACGTAGAATTCTGTTTTCATGGAACACATTAACAATGTATTTTAAGTTCACTTGGGCATTCAGATCCTTCTATCTTACTTCTGTTTTCCTTTTTGACTTCATCTCTGATTACTTCCTAGTTTACGTTAGCTAAAGACTCACTGTATAGTGTATCATAAATGACAGATTTGCCATTCAGATCATGTAGGGCGTTTGTGTCCTGAATACATAAAGAATTTTTATAGGTCAGTAGGAAACCAAAAAAAAAAAAAAAAAGAAAGGCTATGAACAGACATTTGACAGAATAGAAAATGGAAATAACCAGTAAACAGTATACGCTCAAAACCACTTAATTTAGGACACTTTTTTTTTCCTAAACAGAGCTAGAAACTATTAGACCTAAATAGTTTCTAAATCCCGTATTGTTCAAAAATAGCTAACAGGTCTTGGTTTACAGACTAACTCCTGTCACGTGGGTAGCTATCTAGAGTCTTGGTGCAGCGTGTCATCTGGAAGCATGTCAGAAATGTAGAAGATTAAGCCCCAACTTGGACTTATTAAATTATTTTCTCCATTTTAACAAACTCCCAGGTTATTCTTACGTACTTTAAAGTTTAAGAAGCATTAAACTACAGTATGTTGAAAATTTCAAAGCAACATCTGGGTTTAGCACCAAAGCCCTCCATGATTGATGGATGCTGTACGTCAAAAGTGTAGAAGAGGGAGGTGAGGGCATGATGAGACTGCCATTCTGATATGTCCATATTCAGCCACTTAGTTCTGGCTTAGTTATAGTATATTAAAAATAATTATTTTTATTGCCAAGTACACAGCTGTCATCCCTCCATTTTTCTAACAGACCCCTACTCTGAAAAATTACCAGTTTTGTTTTCTCCTTTATTTTTTCTGGATTTTAAAAAATTTTTGTAAGTTAGGAATTTTTTTGAGTAAATAATGTCATATGTACTACTGTATTTCTACTCTTATTAAGTGCTACTCTTATTAATTTAAGTGACAGATAAATAGCAATCTACCATATACTGCATAATTCTTCCCCAGCGCATTAACATTTTGACCACCAGAGAACAGCTACTGAATGTCCCTCCCCAATGATAACCACTATTAAATTTGACATCTTTCCTTTTAAACCTTTTTTCTTTAATTAAAAACATGAATATAAGGATATAAAAAAGTTTTTGTACATGCTTTTCTTTGACTTAGCTTTTTCTTTTAATGAAATAATGTAGACTTCATTCAATGTCAGTGTGTAAATGTTTACCTATGCTTTTTAATGATTGTCAAACATTCCACAGTATGAATTGAGTTTTTCTCTTATGACTGATTTGCCTGTAAAGGAACAACTGATCGCTTTGATGAGTGTTTTGGAAATGACATGAAACCAATTGATACAGGCAAGCAGATTTCAAAGATGTCTTTTTTAGGTAAAAAGGGCATAATTATACTAAGAGCATTCTTTCTTTCTACACCTGAACTTAAGAGGAAAATGGTTCATTCTGTTGTTCCACTCAGGCTCTCGAACAGTGTGGCCTGATGAAACCATGGGACCATTTGGACCTCAGGATCAGAGATTTCAGCTTCCTGGGAACATAGGTTTTGATTGTCACCTCAATGGGACTGCTTCACAGAAGAAAAGCCAGGTTCATAAAACATTGCCTGATGTTCTAGCAGAACCCTTATCAAGTGAAAGACATGAGTTTGTGATGGCACAATATGTGAATGAATTTCAGGTAAATTGTTAATATCATTTTTGGTGCTTTTCTAATTATCGATGCTACATTATGTATTATATTAATGCTATACCATGGTCCTGCATTTCTGTTTACCTACCAGTGTCTCACAGGTTCCCAGATTTTGCCTAATACTGAAGTAGTCCTCTTCCTATAAAAGGCTGTTCTTACTCCTATGTAATCAATAGTATAAATGGCAAAACACCCTCCTTCTGTCCCATTATAAAAATTACATTGTCACCTTCAACTCCTCTCTCTGTGATACCCCTCCACCTGCAATAAATAGTATTGCCCAGTACACAGCAGTCATTTGTAAGGGAACAACTTACAGTGCTTCCATCTCTGAAGTTGCTCCTAAATTGTTAGGGTCCTTTTGAGATCTTTGCGAGATACAGGGCTTTCTTATCTTTTTTGAATTCTTCAAGGCATTACAGTGTGATGAACTTTGGAGACAGAATGAAAGCTGGGTTGAAAAGCTGGCTGTGCAACTAACTTAATTTTGTGATCTTAAGAAAGTTACTTTACAGGACCAGCAGATAGCATATTGGTTATGTTACTTGACCCTCAAATGGCATATTGGTTATGTTACTTGACCCTCACAGTTTGAGTCCCCACATCTAGTGGCTTGAAACTCAGGTGGGGCACACATGTGTGTCCAAAATTCTGAGAGGAGAGTGGAAGAGAAGGGGTTGCAGCATGTCTATCCCCTCCTGGTGGGTGAATTCTTGTTTTCTGTCTCTCTGTCTCTCCAGGAAGCAAAAATCTCTCTTAAGTTACTTTACTTTTCTGAACCTTTGTTTCTTTATATTTAAGATGACGATAATAATAATCCACAGTCCACAAGATTGCTATGGAGATTAGATGTGAAAATGTGTGTAAATCACTTAAATACATTGATCAGTAAATGTTTTCTTTAAAGGTTGCCTGTCAACTCCTCTGTTACCTGCTCCTGCTCATTATCCTACATCCTCCCCAGTAACATAACTTTTCACAGTTGATCTTGCTATTTCTCATTGCTTATAAAGTCAAAATTTCTTTATTTTTCCTTTTTTTCTTTTACATTTTATTCATGATAGAGCATGCATATGCACACATACAAAAGAGAAGCACCTTAACTGGATTTTGTAAAGCTCTGATCCCCTTTTCCTAGCCTGCTAGCTCCTCAGGATGTTGGGGAGAGAGAGAAACACACACACACACACACACAAAGAAACACACACACACACCCTGCATGTTTTCAGGCCATTCCAGGGATTCAAACCCATAATCAGCCATATGACTTCCAACACTACAATTTAATACTTGTGCTAACTGGCTGGGCCTCAAAGTTCATTAATGTAGATAAATGACCTTTCACAATTTTGATCCTTCCCCCTTCCTGCCTTGTCCCTCACTACTCCCTTTCTTCTGTGCTTCATCCACAGCATACTTTCCATTTTTCTTAAATATGCCATTCTGTTTCTTTATATTGTTACTTTCTCTTGCTGAACTGTTTTTCCTCCTGAATTCCTAACCTGTATTCCACCCATTCTTAACCTCTGACACACAGACACATTACTTAACATGTAGCTTAGATATGATCATTTCAGTCTTTCCTGATTCCTCTCAGCAAAACAGGTTTCTTCCTCATCTTTCTCATAACTCTATAGCATTTTTATATTCAATTATATTTATTACTTCATCCTTTTTTTTAAGAGGTATTTTTTATTTTTGATACATGGCACATGTGCTCACTAGAGAGAGAGACAGAAAGCAAGAAATCTCTCCCTAGGGGAGGTGGCCATACTCTTCTCCTCCACTCTCCTTTCAGGATTTTGGGCATGCATGTACACATGTCTGGCGTAAGTGTCAAGCCACTGAGTCCAGAACTCTTAACTGCGGTTAGCCATGTGGGATCCAGCAATGTAACCATTATACATCTGCCGGTCCCACTTTGTGCTTAGTTTTTGTCTACTAGGTCTTATACATCTGAGAGTGAAGACTGAACTTTTGCCATTTTAGTGTCTGCTCCTGTCATAGTGACCAATGTATATGTAGTGAGCTCCCAATAAATTTTATTTGAATAAAAGCCTCTAAGTCCTTTCTGTAGGAGAATCTGTACTATTTAATAATGTTATTTTTTAAGTTAGTATTAACCCTTCTACAGATAATTAGATATTATCACAAACTATCAGAAATAACACTAAGACAGAATTGTAACATTTCATTTATTTTGACAATGCCTATTAAGTCTTAGAAAATAAGTATATTTGTATATTCATACTGTTTTATTCAAAATTTCTTTAGAACTATCAAATCTTATATTAATCATAGAGAATATTTGAGCATATTAAAAACATTTTCTCAAACTCCATTTACATCATAATTATTTTCTAAAAACTTTTCAGGGAAGATAGTTTATAATAGGCAAGATATCATTTTATTTGAATTACAGATTTCTTCTACTTATATCCTTGTTCCCCTTAGGGTAATGATCCTCCTGTTGAACAAGAAATTAACAGTGCAGAAGCTTATTTTGAAAGCGCCAGAGTAGAGTGTGCAATCCAAACATGTCCAGAATTGCTGCGAAGAGGTATGTCATGCTTTATATACATCAACACCAGTGCATATTAGTGTTAGATAGTATTACCAATTTTTTGGTGTGTTGAATAATGTTCTCAACAAGAATTATAATGCTCTGTACCTCGATATTTTAATGTATCTGGAAAGAGTTGTATGGCCAAGATAAAGTTTCAAATATCCCTTGACATCTGACCTTTTGCTGCCATTATATAGGAATGTTAAAATTTTTAATAACATTTTTCCTAAAGTTTAAGTCATTTCTATTCTTTTTGTACATTGCTATTGCAGTAATTTCATGAGCTCTCACATATAATGAGAATAATCTTAACTTTTTGAAAGTTAGATTGGGCCAGCAGGTGGCAGAGTAGCAGTAGACTCCCACATGGCCAACTGTGGTTCTAGTTCTAGACCTGGTGGCTTGAAACAAACTCGCACTGGGTGCATATGCCAGGCACGTGTGCCAGATGCATGTGCATGTGTGCCCCAAATCCCAGGAGGACAATAGAGAAGAAGGGATTGCGGTGTGGCTATCCTCCCAGGGAGTAATTTCTCACTTTTTTCCTGTCTTTCTCTTTCTCTTCAGCAAATACATGTACGCTATAGCAAAAATTTCTCTCTGGAAAAACAGAAAGAAAGAAAGAAAGTTATGTTAATGCCAATAGCATGTGTCGCTACTTATCTTTCAGAAGTGTTGGCAGAAATATTTTTATTTATTCAACAAAACCAGAAGTAAACAAAGCTAAGTTCATTTTACCCTTTTCAGAAAGAATATGCTTTATATTGGGCCAACTCTGTGGTACAGTAGTGACAGTGCTACTCAGGTGATGCTAGATCATGTGGAAACTCAGAAGTTCAGCTCCCTGTTTGACTTCTGCACCCTGAGAACATGCTCATGATCTTGGCTGGCTGGAAAAGAGGTCAGGGTAGGAGAATCTACAGCATGCGACCCTGACGAGGGTACTTATCTATGTCTCTTTCTCTTACTCTTGTGAAAGAAAGAAAGAAAAACTTAAAAACAATACATTCGTAAAATAACTTGGTGCTAATTTAATTTAATTGTGTATCTAAGATATGCACTATTTCTTTTTTTTTGGAGAGGTTTTCACTATAGCGCACGTGCGCTCGCCAGACAGACAGAGAGAGACAGAGAGACAGAAAGCGAGAAATCACCCCCCCCAGAGGGGATGATCACGCCGCAATCCCTTCTCCTCCATTCTCCTCTCGGGATCTTGGGCACGCATGCACACGCACCCGGCGTGAGTTTTAAGCCACCGGGTCCGAGATGCGAACCGCGGTCGACTACGTGGGAGTCCAGCAACATAGCCATTACGCTAACTGCTGGTTCCCCACTATTTCTTTTCTTATAAAGCAATTTTATTTTCTCACTGCAACTCTTACTTTATTTGTAGATTTTGAATCACTATTTCCAGAAGTGGCTAATAGCAAACTAATGATTCTGACTGTAACACAGAAAACTAAGAACGATATGACCATGTGGAGCGAAGAGGTGGAAATTGAAAGAGAAATGCTCTTAGAAAAGGTAATTCAGTTGCTAACAGTTTAATTTTGTGGTCTTATTGAAATACCAGTGAGCCAGTGTTTTAAAATGTTAAGTATCGGGGATCAGCAGGTGTCAGGGAGGTTAAGGCCTTGGATCCCACATGGCCGACTGCACAGTTCTAGTCTCAGACCCGTTGCTTAAAATCTTGCCAGGCACATGTATGTGTGCCCAAAATCCCAAGAGGACACTGAAGGAGAAGGGATTGCAGCATAGCCATCCCTCCTGGGGTGTGACTCCTTATTTTTTTTCTGTCTTTCTGTCCCTCTCCAGTGAGCACACATAACCTACAGCAAAAAAAAAAAAAAAAAAGTAGTAAAAGGGTTAAGTATCAAGCTAGCAGATGACATGGAGGTTAAGGCAGCCGGTTCCCGCATGGCTGACTATCCTGCTCAAGTCCCAATCCCAGTGGCTTAAAAAGTCACACCAAGCACTTGTCCATGCATGCCCAAAATCCTGAGAGGAGAATGGTGGAGAGGGATTGCAGAGCGGCCATCCCCCCGGGTGATGATTTGTCCCTCCCCGACCTCGTGTCTCTCTGATGAGCACACATGCCCTACAATATTAGGTTGCTGGGAAAGTCATGACGTATTTTCTGTTTCACCATGCAGAAATGCTTCAGGACTTTCCAGTGACCTGCTCAATAGCTTCCGGTGAGTCAGCAGAAAAGTCATGTGTAGAAAAAGGTGTCATGACTTTTCTGATGACCCAGTAAATAAATAAAATGTTGAGTATCTTTTACAGCCTTTATTAATTCTCCGCTATTCTTAAATAAGATTCAGTTCAGAATGTCCCTTGATTTTTAAAAAATTTGTATCTATCTAAAGAAACTTGGAAAGTATTATAAAAATTAGAAAAAAGTGAGATTAACTCTTTATACTTCTCCTCTTCTTTAAAACCTGTCAAGTAAAAAGTAAAAATTCTCCAACTCCAAGGAATAAAAGTATAGTGTATAATATGATAATGGTATATTGTGTACCCACATTTTTTTCTGTCCTGTGCCTAAACCTAAAGATGCTTTAACACCTTTCTATACTTTTACACATATTTCACTCTTTGTAAAAATCTACATAGCATTACATTACAGGTATAGCCATACATATTTTTAATTATCTAAAAATATTCATGATGATTTATAAATTGGACATTCATTCAGCTTTTGCTATTACAGTTAATACAGCAGTATAAAATCCTTGTATTTACAATTTCATAATATCTATAGAGTATAAGTAGGAATCACTACATCAAGGAGACTGTACATTTTAAATTTTGATAGACATTTTCAGTTTACACACCACAAAGATTATCCTGATATTAGTATATTTGTTGTCATCCTAGCTTACCATGGACAGTGGCATTTCTCTTCATGTTTACCAATCTGGAAAGTGATAAGTTTTAAGTATAACTTAAAACCTTATACTTTAAAACTAGGTAATTATTTCTTGATTTAGGGTTATATCTTTGTCTATAAAATAGAAAGGAATATTCTTTTACCTATATGGTAGATTAAGAAAAATTCACTTGGCACTCTAGCTAACTTGAGTTGAAAAAGCCCTATTATTTATATTCATGCAGGACCTTATTAGGAATTATTTTATTTATTTATATATTTTTTTTAGAGACAGAGATTTTTGCTATAGGGTGCATGCACTTGCCAGAGAGAAAGCAAAAAATCACTCTACCCCTCAGGGAAGATGGCCATTGCCACAATCCCTCCTCCTCCAGTCTTCTCTTAGGATTTTAGGTATGCACATACATGTGCCTGGCATGAATTTTAAGCTGCCGGGTCCAGGACTCAAACCACAGTCGATTATGTGGGAGTCCAGCAATGTGACCATTACAACATCTTCTGGTCCTTATTTTATATTTTCTTTATAGTTTGATGTGCAGTTCTCTTTTTGTAAAAATACATTGTATTTTACCTATTCCAACAGTATTTTATGATAATAAATTCTCATTTAAATACCTCATATATGGCTTTACTATTAAGCTTTCATCTTGAGCATATTGGTCATATGCTAATTAATTAGGAGGTTATAAAGAGGCATCAGAATTTATCTCTCATTTTTAGGAGGTCCAAATTTAGGCAGTTGGAATTGAAAAAAAAGGCAGTTATGAAAAATTAAGCTTTTGTTTTTAAGAATTATATTTTATTTATCATTATTTTATTTTTTAATTTGCTTTGGGGCATACACTCTCACCAGAGAGAGAGAGAGAGAGAGAGAGTAAGCAGCAAAGTCTCGATCCTTGGTTGGCCATGTGGGAGTACAATACCTCAACTACCACACCACCTGCTGACCCCAAAATAAACTTTTTTTTAATAAAGAAGTTCAATAATTTTCACTAAGAAAATAACTTAGCTTAAGAGACCCCTTCATAGGAAGTGATAGAATATGATCCTAAGCCTTTTGATTTCAAAACTTTTACTCCATTTTTTAAATTTTTATTTTTTAACTTTTTTTTTTTTTTTTTTAATTTTTAGAGACAGGGTTTTGTTATGTTGCCCAGGCCAGACGTCAGCTTTTCCTACCTCAGCCTCCCAAGTAGCTGGAGTTACTAACATGGACTACCACACCTAGCTTTGCTACTTTAACAGACATTTTCTATTTAAATATTAAGGTAATACTTAATATATACTTATCATCATTATTATTGAGGGGGAAGAGAACTCTCACAAATACTTTGTGTTACTCATCATAATTTAAGCTTCTGAAATTAACTTGATACTAACTTCAGTATAGTTCTAAGTCAGAGTCTGCCCCTTTTCACGGCTTTGAAAATGGCAACATACTTTATCTTGAGATTTTAATTTTATAATGTCTGAAGATATTTTCTATCACAAAAAAATTTTTTTTTGTTTGACAATTTGTTAATTATTATTTTGGAATCACCTAGCTTTTTCTCCAAGTTGGTATTTTATGTTTTAGGATTTTAAAACTATTATGATTTTTTTTCCAGTAGATGTCACTGTTTACTGTTTCTGAACAGAAATTTTTAGAGAAATACTTAAGCTGGTTCTTTATTGATAATTTGGAATTCTTTGATTTAGCATTTGATTACATTGCACGGTTTTACCCTCCTTGTAACTTTTATGTACATCTGTTCATTACATTAGAGTTTAATGTCTATTTTTTAGATATAGTAGTTTTCCTATTATTTTTCAGAATCAGAAGGTTAAAGAAATACAACAATAAATTGAAATATTAAGTATATAAGAAAACCTACTGTTTTACTTTAATGTTTTCATTAGTTATGAGAAGGTAGTAGGAGAAAATCAGCTTAGATAGCATACTTCTATAGCATGGGTGAGCCTTTTTCTATAAAAGGTGTCAAAAGACAAAATTAAAACAAATTTAGTTCAAAGATCTAACTGGTTTTTAGTTGCAATCTAGAATCAGGCAACATCTCACTTTATAAAGCAGAATGAGTATTCTAGTGAGCTGAGCAGAGGAATTTGGGTTTACACAGAAAAGGGCTAACAAAAACAAATAGGGAACAGAAAGTGGACTGGTCATCTCAAAGCTACTTTCTGTGTAGGTTAAAATGGGAACTTCCTTAAAAAAAAAATGGGGACTTTCTTAACATACCTGCTCAGGTAAACTAAATGCGTTCTAATTGATTGCTGTGACTCTCCTTTTTTTAATTGGAAAACTGGCCTGTTTCAAAGTTCATTTTGATTACATGACTCCCTTCTGGTTTGATCTTGTCTGTTAGGGCTGCTAGTCTGAGGCAGTGGCCTTCCATAAACTTTGTTTAACAAAGGCAAGATATGTCAGCTTTTAACCCTACGACTGGCACTTTCTGCTAGGCCTACAATCTTGCCTGTTGTATGCACAGCTCAGCCCTTGGCTAATGAACCAGAGTGAATGGTTCTGCACACTTCTCAGTAATCTCTTTGTGTACCTCTGTCTATTCAAATACTCTGCACTACAAATTTGAGATGTTTCAGCAGCCCAGGACAATTGGCTTTCTACCTCAGCTGACTGATAGCATCATTTTGCTTTGGCTCCACTACTTTGCCATTATAAGAACGTGTCCCCAGTTAGAAAGCTGAAGCAGTTATGAAATAACTTTATTTCCCTTCCCTCAAAAATTACAGCTTTCTGGGACCAGCAGTTAGTGTAATGGCTATGTCGCTGGATTCCCATGTAGTCGACTGCAGTTCGAGTCCCGGACCTGGTGGCTTAAACTCACACCAGGCGCGTGTGTGTGCATGCCCAGGATCCCGAGAGGAGAATGGAGGAGAAGGGATTGCGGCGTGGCCATCCCCCCTGGGGGATGATTTCTTGCTTTCTGTTTCTCTGTCTCTCTGTCTCTCTGTCTCTGTCTGTCTGGCGAGTGCACGCACCCTATAGAACAAACCTCTCCAAAAAAAAAAAAAAATTACAGCTTTCTCTAACTGTAGTTCTAAAAATAGCTGCTTCATACATTTAGATCAGTTTTATAATTTTCAAGAGGGTGGCAAGTTTACTACATGTTATTCTGTTATGGCTAAAAGTGGAACTGTGCTGTTCTAAATTTTTTTTGATCTGTTCTTTTTATTCAATGGTATAATCTAGATTTAATATTTGTTGCCATTTCTATACTACCTATACTTCCAATAAAGCAAATAAAGGCATTATAGAAATTAGGGTGGTAAAACCAGAACTCGGTACGTGCATATGATATATAGTAATTATACATTATACAAAAGACTCACAGGGTTACATAATAAAAAGTAAATATCCTATTTATTCTTGTACCCTATCTATCTGGTCCTATTATTTTTATGCTCCTTTTCAGAAATATTTGACACTATGTGAATGGATGGATGTATTTTGAAGGATATGCAAACAATTTTTTTAACATTTTTTTATTCTGACTGTTTTGTATCTTTTCATCATGAATATTTTATTTTCCCTTTCTTATTTATTTTTGTTATCTCCATAATATAAAAAGCAACTGTAGTTTTATGAAAATTCAGGGTTTGATGGCACAGAACTGATTAGAAATTGTTCATAAAGTATAATATTAGAAAAAATACAGAATTTAGATATCTTGGGTTTTTTTGGTTTTTTTGTTTTTTTTTTTTTTTGAGAGGTTTTTGCTATAGGGTGCGTGCGCTCGCCAGACAGACAGAGAGATACAGAGAGATAGAAAGTGAAAAATCACCCCCCAGGGGAGATGGCCACACCGCAATCCCTTCTCCTCCATTCTCCTCTCGGGATCTTGGGCATGCACGCACACGCGCCCAGTGTGAGTTTAAGCCACTGGGTGTGGGACTCGAACCGCGGTCGACTACGTGGGAATCTAGCAACATAGCCATTACGCTAACTGCTGGACCCAGAATTTAGATATTTTGAAATTGAAGTATTAACCATTAACTTTTGGAATCGTGAAAATAATCTTGTGACTTTATAATCTAATTTACTATTATTGTTTGTTACTAATCTTAATGATTTTTTTCTATATGGAGCAAAAGAAATTCATTGTAAAATTTATTTAAAAATAAAATAATCTGTAGTGAAGCTATCTTGAACATACTATTTGTTCCTTTTCACTATGCAGTTTATCAATGGTGCTAAGGAAATCTGCTATGCTCTTCGAGCTGAAGGCTATTGGGCTGACTTTATTGACCCATCATCTGGTTTAGCAGTGAGTAAATACATTTTAGAAGCTATATTGTGTGAAGTAGTAGGAATGGTTATTATTGTGAAATTGTTTATAATTACAGCTTTGGTAAAAATAGATTACTCAAGACTTTTTTAAACTTGTGGTTTTACCCAAAGAAGTGCTGGAATGAACCAGTTACATTGATTGCTTTTGATTGACTTCTTTTATTCACAGTTAAGCTTCTCTATTCCTTTAATTTTTTTATTAAAAGTATTAAAATGGGTCAGATGGCAACACAGCAGTAAAGTGTACTTTGTGAGATTAATCTCTGTGAGACTGTTCCAGGTTCATGTCTGGAGACCTCCCTTAGTATGTTATGCACATGTGTGTCCATGATCCAAGGCTGACTAAGGTTGAATTGTAGCATCAAGACCCTATCATGAATTCTCTCTCTCTCTCTCTCTGTGTGTGTGTGTGTGTGTGTTTTGTGGAAGAATCTTAGAAAGAAAATGAAAAGACTTACCCGCAATGGTGCAAGCAGAAGGGCACCACTGCACCACAGCTGAGGCTGCATGGAAGGCCTAGGCTCATTTGGAGCCATGTAAACAGGCAAGGCTGGGTAGTATGCACCTGTGATTCTACCTAACTGAGTGTCTAGGGCAGAGGATTGCAAAGTCAACCCTGTCAAAAATATCTCCCCCCGACCCCCATCTTTCCTTCTCTTTCTCTCAGCCTACTTCTCCCTCACATGTTTGCATACACTCTCATACCATCTTTTTCATTGAAAACAAGCAAAGTTATATCCCATGTACATACTCTTTCTCATTCAAAAAAGAAAGTTGCCGGAATAGCAGATGGCATAATGGTTATATTGCTGGACTCCCACATAGTCAACCATGATTCAAGTTTTAGACCTGATGGCTTAAAACTCACACTGGGCATGTGTGCCCAAAATCCCAAGAGGAGAATGGAGGAGAAGGGATTGCTACATGACCACACCCCCAAGGGGGGTAATTTCTCACTTTCTGTCTCTCTGTCTCTCTCTATCTCTATGGCAAGAGCCTGCACCCTATAGGAAAAACCCTTTTTTTAAAAAATTACTTTTACCCTTTCTAATATATTTACAATCCAATAGATTGACTCAATTCAAATCAAATGAGTATATTTACTGCTTGTAAGTTGAAAATGAGAAGACAGTATGTTCTAGTTTCTTTTAAGGAAGAAACAACTATTCTAGAATTAAGTGAAGAAAATATAAATAGTAAATATTTAGAGGGTCCAGCAGGTGGCATCGATGGTGGTTAAGGCATTAAACTCCCACAAGGCTGACCATGGTTCATGTCTCAGACCTTGCAACTTGCTTTCTCTCTCCCTCTCTCTCTCTCTCTCTCTCTCTCTCTCTCTCTCTCTCATGAGCGCTCATGCCCTAAAGCAAAGTTAAAAAAAAAAAGACAGAAAATAATTCTTTTTTTTTTTTCATTTAGAAAAGTAACTTTTTGGAAATTAACATCTGTGTGGTCATACGCTGCAGAAAATAGCTGAATCACCATTGTGGGCATGTTTTGAATTGTGGATGTATTGGGACCAGCAGATGGTATAATGGTTACGTTGCTAGACTCCCATATAGTTTAATCATGGTTTGAGTTTCAGACCTGGCAGCTTAAAATACACTGAGTTTTTTGTCTATCACTTCAGCAAGTGCACACAACCTATAGCAAAAAAATCTCTCGGGGTAAAAAAAAAAACAAAACACAGAAATCTGGATGTATCTTCCAGTTATAAGTAGTAATAGAATCATTCTTTGAATCTTAAAATAGGAATTTATTCTATTCACAAAGTCAGTAAGATATATGATAGACTAGACATGAAAAAAAATTTAAGAACTATTTATTAAATTTTGCTACAGGGCACATGCGCTCACCAGAGAGCAATAGAAAAAGAGAGAAAGCAAGCTGCCAGGTCTGGGATTTGAACCACAGTCAGCCATGTGGGAGTCTAGCACCTCAGTCACCACGCCACCTGCCAGAACCCAACTTGAAAAACTTTTGCCCTGGCTTTTAGTTTCCTAAAACTTGTGAAAATGATGAAAGTGAACCATAGATGACTATGTAAGGTTTACTCTATCTTTTTAAACATTGTGTGATGTTATGTATTCAAGTCTAGGTAAATGGAATTCACGAGATCATACATTTCACATTTCCAGGTATTGGCGGAAAGGGCTTAGGTATTTCATGTGACCTTTGTATTTTTCACTTGGTTTGTTTTTTTAATTTTGGAGTATTAGAATAGGTAAGTGTTCATGTTTGTATAAAAATTATTACTATGTTGTCTTTCTTGCTAATGAAAGTTTCGTTTTGTTTTTTTCTTTTATTTCCTTCAGTTTTTTGGACCATATACAAACAGCACTCTTTTTGAAACAGATGAACGCTATCGGCATTTAGGATTCTCTGTTGATGATCTTGGCTGCTGTAAAGTGATTCGTCATAGCCTTTGGGGTACCCATGTGGTTGTAGGAAGTATCTTCACTAATGCAACACCAGACAGCCATATTATGAAGAAATTAAGTGGGAACTAGCTGTAATGTCTACTTATTTGCTATACAATTGGGTTGATATATAAACACTGTCAAAGACTTCCATTTTAAAAATATACTTATCTCGCGGTATTTATTGCAACATTTACAAATTTACAACTTTGGCAAGTGGGAGTTTCGAAATCATAAATGTTCATGTTATCATTGAATACATGTTGACCTCATGCATGTTGTATAGAGTGTGGTCACGAACATGTAACCAGGGTATGATCTCTTTCTGTACTTTCTCCCCTTTACTGGAAAAACCTGTTCCAATTATTTTTCTCCAAAAATAAATCACAATTTGGTTATGATGATTCTTTATTGCAGTATTTTTAAAATACAGTTTTTACAGATTCTTCAGAAACTACAGTATTAACCTTTTTTAAAGTTTTTTTAAAATAATGCAATCCAAAATTCTAAATTCATTGTAGATTTTACTTTTTCTGTTTTTCTTTTTACCTGTTTTCACTTCATTGTCTATTAAATGTTCTGATGCCAGTCCAGTTATTACTTTGAAAAAAATGTAAGTACAGGAATAGAATAAGGATACTACATATTTATGTAAAAACATTTGAATCTCATCTTCTTTTTTGAAGCTTATTTTTTTTTAACTATTTATCTTATTTATTCATTCATTTATTTTTTATTTGACCAGAGAGAGACAGAGGGTGAGAGAGAGAGGAAGTGAGAAAGCAAGCCACCAGATTCAGGACCCAAACCTTGGTCGGCCATGTGGGAGTGTCCAGTGCCTTAACCACCACGCCACCTGCTGGTCCCTTGGATCTCATCTTTATACTGCAGGGCAAAAAACTTTTTTCACCCTGAAAAGATTCTTTGTAAGTCACTGACTGTAAGCAGTCTAATAAGAAAAAAGGCATATAAATTTATTTTAGTATTTACATATGTACATGGCAGCCTTGAGATTAAAGACCCAAAGATATAGGAGAAGTTCTCTGATTTTATGTTTAGGTTTGTTGAATGAATAGCCATATAAAAATGTGATTGGACAAAAAGGGTATGAGGTAATGGAAATAGACTGAGGAGAAAGTTAGCAAGACCTGTCTGGGTTCTTCTTGGCCTCTTTATGCAGCATTCTTTCCTCCGAGGAATGAGGCAGGACCCCTTTGGAATGAGGATCTTACCATCTAATACCAGACAAAATAGGGCAGAGAATTTCTTTATATGCAATTCTTACACAGAAAAGGGGCAAAAAAGTAGAGTACTCGTTTTAGGTTTATGGCTGGTTTGGAGAAAGAGTTTCTGGTTTCTATGACCTGTTTTGGGGAGGAAGGGGTGAGAGGAGGGTAGGAGAAGGCCGAAGAGAAACTGCTTCTGAGGCTTTCACTTTGAGGGTTTTTTTTTTCTGAGCCCCCAAAATACTTAAAAAAAAAAAAATTTCAACTTCTGAGTTGAGACAGATTACATATAGTTTAGTTCCACTGTAGCGGTAGATGAAAACTAATAACTTTTTAGAAGTGCCTCATTTGTGGCAGAGCTTGTTTTTATAGCATTTTAAACTTTTTTAAAAAGTCATCTTTTATTTCAGACATTTGCCAGTGAAAATAGACAAATCCCAGCAGCAAAAGTACTAGATGAATTTATCAAATTAATATTTTTTCTGTATTTTTTAAAGAAATAGCTATCTTAAAAAGGAGCGCTTAGAAGTAACCAACTTTTCAAGCACAGCTTAATTGAAAACCCTTTGCTTGTTATGAAAAGAAAAAAATGAAGTAGTGAGTCCCGTATCATTTTCAAAAAATTATATTGAAGTGTATGTGTGTGCACACATGCACAAGTCACATGTGCTTGATAAATTTTCATCTTTGTAACCACCCAGATCAAAACACAAAACCTCTCAAAGGCTCATGCTGCTGACTTCCAGATACTCCTGCCTAGCCATCATCCTTACCAAGGGAACCACTATCCAGATTTCCTATAGCATAAATTGTTTTTTGCATATTGTGATGCTTTACATGTATAAAACTATATGTTTACTTTTTAAAAATAATTTTATTTATTATTGTTATTTAATTTGCTATAGAGCACATGCGCTCACCAGAGAGAGAGAGAGAGAAAGAGAGAGGGAAAGTAAGAAAGCAAGCCGTCGGGTCTGGGACTCAAGCCATGGTTGGCCATGTGGCCATCCAGTGCCTTAACCACCAGGCCACCTGGTGGCCCCACTTTGTTTACTTTGTAACTGCCTTTCGCTCTGTGAATAACCTTTATTGTGTGTAACTATAGATAACCCACATACACAGCTCTTGCCTTTTCAGTGATTCTGAGTCAGGGCAGTTTTGCCCCTTGAGAAATTTAGCATTATCTGGAGACATTTTAAATGATCACAACTTTGGTGGTAGATATGCTTTAACATGTAATAATCAGAGGTCAAGGGTGTTTCTAAATATGCCACAGTCCAAAGGATAGCTCTTCATAATAAAGAATGATTTGGTCAGCTACCTTGCATCATCCTTATTATTTCTAATACTTATTCAGGCTTTCCTATCTTGCACCATTCTTCAGCAAAGTCGTCTTAGAATTTCAACATTTATTTTAATCATTATGAATGCCATCTACTGGTTGAGAATGATCCTCCATGTAGGTGGTGATGTCTATATGTTATGTAGGGAATAGGGTGCACAGTGGCAAGACTCCTTTTACCATTATACTTTCTCACAGAACTTCCAGAAGCAAATAGCATGGTAAGCAGTAACTGCCAGTTAGAGATTGTCTTATGAACTGTTAAAGCAAGATTCAGGTCTTAGAAATATAACTCAAGGGGTCTTACTGGTAACAGTACGAAGTGGTTAACCATTTTGTACTGTGATAAAGCAAACCTTAGATAACAATTTATCATGTTTACTTGGGTCAAGATCCTATGAAGAAGAAATAATTTATAAAATTACCCATCTTAAACATAAATGTACTACCTTTTAAAATAAGATTGAGTCATTGGAATTGATACTAGACCTGTCACTGGGGAGAAAAATGTTTCTATTGTGAAATTTATGTTCAGATAGGAACTTAGGGATCTTTGTATAGAAGTCAGATGCTGAACGGATCTTTCAAGGGGCCAGATGGTGACACAATGGTCACGCAGTGTTCTGAGGGTGGACCTACCTGCTTTGCATTCTGGGGTCCCTGAGCACACAGCATTAGCATGTGCCCAGTGATCTGGACTAGCTGCAGCTGGGGGTGGATCACAGCTAAGGACCCTATTGGGAGTGTCAGTGTCTGTTTGTCTGTCTCCCTCTGTCTAAACAAAAAAAGGAAGGGGATCTTTCAGTCATCTGATCCACATCCACATTGTCTAGTAAACAAAATTGGAAACAGAAGCAAGTTTTAGGTCACACAGCTAGTTTTAAGACCCAGCACTGGAACTTGACTGAGATTCCAGTATTTACACATGTATTTCTTCATATTCACAATTCACGGTCACTATTAAGTCTATTAAGTGATTGATTAAAAATATCAAAGAGTTACAGGATTTAGGCTGAAAAAAACATAAGGACTAACTAATACTGCTGCCTCATTTCATAGATAAACTTAGGAATTCATTCCATGCTCTGAATTTCTTTGAAAACACTGAAACATGTATCTTAAAATTCAATTATAGAATGTTAACACTTCAAACAGTAATTCTCTGGCTTCAAGTTTAAAACCTAGTGTCTGTCCCGAACTTCTGTCAGGTATTTGAACAAAATTCTGATTTTTAGTTCAACTGTATTTCCTCTTCCTATGATTGGTTCTCTTGTTGCTGCTGTAAAGCAGGGTTTGCCCACCTCTGCACTGTTGACATTTTGAACCAGGTACTTCTCTGTTGCCAGGGCTGTCCTACACATCCTAGGATGCTTAGCAACGTTCCCAGGCCTCGACCCATGACATGCAAGTATCAACCCCTTGTCATGACAAAAACATCTCCAGACATTGCCAGATTTCCCCCCAGGAGGCAAAATATTTGCTTAGCGAAAGTCAAATTTAACCAGGTGTTTTTTATTTTGATAACCCTATCCCTTGTTGAGAACCACTATCTCAGAACATCTAAATGTAGTCCTCAATATTAGCTATGCATTTGGATCACCTGAAGGGGGTATTTAAGGCTACTGATGATTTTACCTATTTCATCAGTCCTAACAGTGTAGCTTGGACATATGCATTTTTTGAAAGCTCTTGTATATTCTGCAAGTGTGCGGTCACAGCTATTAATCTGTTAAAATCAGTAACAGTGGGTTAAAAAGACATCTGAAGAGACAAGACTAGGATACAATGGATTTAATATATTAAAGAAATGGCAAAAAAAAAAAAATGAAGGCTCTTTTTCATTAAGAGGGACCTTCAAATCAATTCAAGAGTTCGTTAGAGTTCTACTCTCTAGGAAACCTTCCCTGATTGCTCTACTCCTAACTGGACTTCTCTCCCTTAATTTGTATATTATTTGATTTAAACCACACCGTTTTGCATTCAATTACATATTATGTGTAGTTTTTTGTAAATTTTTTTGTCTTAAACTTTGCCTTTCATCCCTGTAAAGTAGGGACCAATTCCCTACAGAGCACTAAGTATGCATTTTCATCCAGTTATTACTAACCATAATATTTTACATGTTTTCATAGGTTTTTCTTGTGTGGCCATCTCTCTTTGTCTTGATAGCATACATGTAAGTTGTAACATAATTATCCAGAAGATTTAAAGTAAGATTTTGGCCATTTGACTTCCAATTATTACTGAAAGTAATCATGTCACTATTATAAAAAGTATATGAGTGGTTATTTATGACAAAGGTAGCAACACTTCAGTGCATGGAAAATGGGATGTTTTTAGTATATATTGCTGGACCACTTGGATATTCATATAGAAAAAAATGCATTTTTACTCTTATGCCACATACATACAAAAAATCATTTTCTTTTTTTTGAGAGGTTTTTGCTATAGGGCATGTGCACTCGCCAGAAAGACAGAGATAGGAAGACAGAAAGCGAGAAATTGCCCCCCAGGGGAGATGGCCACACTGCAATCCCTTGTCCATTCTCCTCTCGGGATCTTGGGCACGCACGCACACGCCCCTGGCGTGAATTTAAGCCACCGGGTCCAGGACTCGAACCGCAGTCGACTACATGGGAATTCAGCGACATAGCCATTATGCTAACTGCTGGTTCCACAAAAATCATTTTCAAAAGGATTGCAAGTCTAAATGTAAAAGGTTAAATAATAAAGCTTTTGGGGAAAAAATATTTTTGTGACCTTGGAGTAAACTAAGATGTTTTAAATATAACCATATAAGGGGAAGAAATTGGTGGATTGGATCATATTAAAACTA